ACCTAACGGTCTTGTCACAGAGCACCACGGAAGTGCATTTAACCAGGAAGTTCACGTCTCCTTCCTTACCGTGACGCGAAAATATATCCAGAGCTTGTTTCAAACCTGGATCTCCTGCTTCTTAAACAAGCCTTCTAGCCACTGCGCTACGGCCGCACCCACTGCGCCACGGCCGCACAAATTAAAGATAAGATCGATTGTTTAGAGTACTTTATAGTCTAATGTTGTTAAATTAGTTGCAAACAGATAAAAACTGACAAGAGCATGATGACCTACAATCAGTAGCTTTAATTCTGATCTAATATATAAGATAAGCGGCGCCTTTTAAAACGACTTGTGACTCGGCAAATAACAAAGATTTTTGTGATTCCGCTTAAAAGTCATTTTTCATTAGCTAAATAATTAAATTAGACTTAACCACCTTTTCAAGATTCATTTCCTTACATCAAATAATAGCAGAATAGCTGATAAATAAATAATAAACGAGTTTTGGGTGCACCATTTTGAATCATGGAAATTAAAAAGCTCTTTTAGCGAAAATGAAAGGAAGCTAGCTTCCTAAATGCCAACAAATTTGTTTTGTTTTCGGAAAAGTTATAAAAATGAATGAACTGTTTTTAACCACTGTACCGATGTTGTCAATATTAGACAACACTACTCTTAATTTTTATTGACTTTTTGGGTACCTCAAAGTTTCAATCTTTTTGGGTACCTCAGAGTTTCAATCTTGGTACCGACTAATATTAGTTTTCCTAAAAAAATAACACAAATGAGAAAGTGTTAATACAGCTATATACTCCAGTATTAATATGATCTCATCAATTTAGATTAATGTAATCTCATCAATTTAGATTAATATAATCTCATCAATTTAGATTAGTTTAAACAAACAGCTCATCTTGAATATGGTCTTTTTTTGTAACATCTGTTTTCCTTTTCTTTACGTCTTCTCAAATTATCATTTATTTCTTTTATGGAAACTATAATTTTAATCTATTTCAAAATTAGCAACTGTTACAATTGCCCTTTTTCGTCTGATTGTTGTCATGTTTGAACTTCAGCAATGTTTTTTTTTTATTTGACAAAGCTTAAAAACGCATTGTTAACATAGTTAAACTTGCTTTATCTGCAAAGCCTTAAGTGTAAGTTTGTATCTTTTTAAAAAATGCTACCGTGTTTGCTTCTCAAGCGTGAAATCATTTCTTGTTTTACTAACTAAAATACAATGTTTCAAAAAAAGTTTAAAAAGGGTCATTCATAAGACCTCAAATTTTATAAATGACCTTTAGTGAATTCCTTTAGGTAGAGATTTACGCTTGGGTATGAAAAATTTCTATACTATGTAATAATAATTACAATAATTAATTCACAGCCTCATCAGCTATGCAAACATTTCATGGGCAAGTACTCAAACAGCAAAGCTTAAGAAACTTTATAGTTTTCAGAAACATGCCTGTAGAATCATTTACTTTAAAAATAGGCGAGAACACGCTAATCCCTTGATAAAAGATATGAAAATGATGAATGTATTTGAAATAAATATCTACCAGCATTTAATTTTCATGTATCGTTACAATCACAATATCTCTCCTATAAGCTTTAATAATAAGTTTGAGTTAAATAAAAATGATAACTATAATCTTAGAGCGAATATGTTGAACACATATAAACTGCCAAGGATAATAAATAAATATTCAAAATACAGCATTTTATTTAGAGGTCCAAAGGTATGGAATATTTTTCAGAAAGAGTTCAAAGGTACGGTGAGTTCGTTAAGTTCATTCAAGTTTTTAACAAAAAAAGAAATCTTTAAAACCGGTGAAACATTTTTTGTTAATAATGCTTTAGATAAATTCTCTTAAATAAGTTTTTGTTTTGTTTCTACTTTTGTTTGTTGCTTGACAATTTTTATTAGCGGATTACGCATTTTGTTATGATATTTTATTGACATTTTTATTTTGAATGTCATATTACGATATTTTAATTAAATCTTGTTAAAGGGGTTCTATGAAGAGATTGTGATGACGTTCTGTCATCCTCATCTTCTTTGAGTCCCTATCTGTTTTACTTATTTTGTTAAATTTTATATTATGTAGTAGAATCTGTAAAATTCTTGTGTTATGTAAACAGAGAAAAAAAATAAAAAAAAAATAAGCGAAAAAATCTTTTTCGCTTATTTTTTTACTAAATAAGCGAAAAAATCTTTTTCGTTTTTGAAAAAATGAAATGTACTTGATGTGATGTCACGATTTAAAGCAGCACATTTAACAGCATTACATTTTTAATAGGTCAGCGGCTCAATTATTCAAGTATGAAATATTTGTGGAAATTGATTTCTATGCACATTTGAAAAGTAACTGCTAGTGTAATTATTTTTTTTGAGATTTAAAATTACTTGAGAAGTATGAGTTAACTCTAACTAAACTAACGTCAAAAGTTACTCATGGAAAACCAGCTTTAATTGGTTTTAAAAGTTAGAAAAGAAGATTGACCAACAAATAAATAATTTTTATTGTAAGAAATATTGCTCGCAGTAAATCATTATGTACTAACTTTATTACTAAATGACTATAATTGTAATTTGATTTATTAGTGAAAGTTTAATGGTTTTAATGTCGCAGAGAGCTCAAAGTACATATTTATCAACCTTTATTTCTTTTTACTAAGAAATTACATTTTCTTAGGACTTATTTTTTTTTCAAATGTTTGCAATACTTTTTCTTTTTTCTTCTTTTCACGAGTAAAAAACTTTTTTTTTTAAAACAAAATATGAAATAAAAATTGAAAGCACAAGTCTTATTGATGAACATTTGTGATCAATAATAGAAGTGGTAGCTATCCAAGACTTGAAGCCAAACCTTGACTAGATTTATGTAAATAAATGATGCCAATTGTTTTAAAATAAATTTTATTATTGAAAAACGCTTGTACGTTTATAACGGGTGGCAAGTTGAAAATGGTACAAAGTTTAGCAGACAAAAAAAAATGTCGTATCAAATTATTTATGTTAATATCAACTACCTATTTTTTTTCAAATTTCACGCTGATTGTTTATCTGTATTTGCTTTAGAAATGGTTTTAAAAAATGAAACTAAAATGCATCAGCAAATACGAGATGTGATGAAATCGTGTCTACGAATTTTATCAAGTCAATAGATCAGAGGGACAACCATTCACTGTTAAAAACCTTTTAGCTAAGAACATGCTGAGAAGCACTATTTACTGGATTATCAGCGAAGCTGAAAACGAAACTGGTCACCAAAAAGCCATGGGTTTTGGCAAAAAACCGGTAATCATGACCAAAACCGACTTAAAGCGACTAAAGTAATGTTTTGCCATAAGGACACCGTTTCGTAACGCCAAGAAGCTCGACAATTTTAATGCAATCACTAATACATTGGACGCTCAAAAACGAGTCTTCTATCCATAAAAACAAGAAAATCAGCATTTTGAAGCGAAAGAAGGTCCAGAAAGCAAAGATCAGACCAAGATACCGTCAGCTGTGTGAAAAGTTGCGAAAAAAGTGTTGCATTTTTACATTATCTCACTCGCACATCAACGGCAACTGTACTTTCTACATCAGCAATGTTTCAGTAACTCTTTCAAGTGTCAAATGTGATCCAACAACCAAATACGAGAAGAAACTGCTTGTCTGTCTTTTCAGAGCATGGCATTTTAAAGCTTTTCTTCCTCTCTAGCGGCATGGTCATCAACCAGCAGGTCTACTTGAGCAAATGTTTTCAAAAAAAGATTAATACCGTTCTTTGCAGAGCACCATTCAGATAATGCCAATATATTTTGGTCTGATGTAGCATTGGCGCATTACGCAAAACCCAATATTTCCTACCTGGAAGCCAAAAAGGTAAATTTTGCCCCAAAAGAAGACAGTCCTCTAAATGTCCCGAAAATGCACCCAATCAAAAATTTCTATAGCATTCTGAAAGGAAAAGTTTATGCAAAGAATTAGCACTAAAAACGTTCAGATTATCTGCGCATAAAGATTCAGAAATGCCTCAAAAAAGTTGACATGGTCTGCGTATAACGTCTTGTGCAACAGGTTTCATCTCTAAATGATTCTGTTTATATTTTGTCGCACGACACCTGTGAGACCGTGGTCGTGCAACAGCAGTGTTCATCGAACAAATGTTTCCATTAAACTACAAACTTATTTTTAGTTACATTCTATTTTTGAAAAATATTGGTTGCATTGTATAATACAACGCACAAAAAAAAAAGAGAATCAGCAAATCATATTTTAGAGTCGTGCGACAAATGTCGCAGATTTTTTTTTGTCTACGACGCCCATGGCACAACCATAAAACAGTCTTGCAAAACAAATTTGGTCGCATGACCAATGTTTCCGTATGATCGTGCAACCGTCTTACGACAATTTTGCGACTGTCGTTAGACTGTTTTGTCGATAAATTTTTTTAAGATGGTACGACAATCATCGCACGACCCTAAAAAATGACATGCTCATTCTATTTTTTGCGCGATGTTCTATATTTTTATTGGTTGATACTGAATAACCCTGCCAATCTTTTTAAAAAATAGAATGTAGACAAAAATAAGTTTGCAGTTTAATGGAAACATTAGGTCGTAGGACACTGCTGTTGCACTACCACTGCCGCACAGCTGTCGTGCGACTATATAGAAACCAACCTTAATTAAAGTTCAATAAACCTTTTTACATTAGAGAATGTTAAGCCTAATCGAATTTTTTTAGTTTTTTAAAAAAATATTTAAAAATGAGGAAGTATCATCTCTTTAAACTTTGTCCCTTTTCTTACTTGCCACCCGTTATAAGGTGTATTTATTGCGTGAAAAAAATAAAGTTATATGGATCTTTGTTCTTATTATAAAAATATAGCAGTAGTTTAATAAATTAATTTGACTATGTTTTCTCAGTTCACCTTAAAGCTAATTAAGAAGTCAATTGCGTTTTACCCACGCTACGGTGCCATTAATTTTTTATATAAACGTGTCAAATGCGAAATTAAAACTGCATATCGAATTTTCACATAAAAACGGTGTAGTCCTGACTATATCGTTATAAAGTATTGAACTGTCTGTGTAATGTCTCAAACAGTTTAATGCATAGCATTTTATGTTGTTATTGAAATTGTTAGTTTTAAACACAAAATTTATTTTCAAAAAAAAGTTTAAATTCTACAATAGCAGTACACTTCATACCAGTTATCAATCATTGTTTATTGGTTTAGAAAAATTCTTATCTACATTTCCTCGTTCATACGATAAATTCATGTCAGATCTAGAGCTTGAGATAACTCAGTGTAGGGCGTCAGTAAAGGAACAGGTAATTTTTTTGCATAACCAAGAAAGTGTTCTAGATTGTAAGAGTTTAAAAAAGAATTAAATACATTTGCCACAGCAAAAATAAAAAGTACGACAAATACCGAACTATAATTTCTTCAGTTTTATGGAATATATATTTTTTCTTTCAGGGTGATTTGGTTAAAAAACTCAAAAGTGAAGGCGCTCAAACTATTGATATTGATTTGGCAGTAAAGGAACTTAAAGCACGCAAAAGAGTACTAGAACAAAAAGTAGGTCCAAATGTTGTTTATATAAGCCATTTATTAAAAATTCATATTTCTAACTTTTGTAGGCATTTTGTTAATAGAGCCTAAAATCTCAAAATCTTACTTTAATCCTAATAAACACATTAATCTAGATTTATATTACTTTTTTGTGATTTTGATTGGCTAAGAACAGGGTAAGAAAAAGTGGCGATTAAAAAAAATAACATTTATGACCTGAAATTAAGGATTAAAAAATAATAGCAAATAATTTAATAAATCATTTTTCCTAATTCAAGTAAACAAATATGATTTTTGATTAAAAATGTTTTTTTTTTTTTTTTGTTGAAATATTTTTTGGTATCAATATTAGTAGCTAAAAAAAAAAAGAAGGAAATAATCAAAAATGTCACTTTTTATTAGACCTTTTTTAAATATTTATTAAAAATATGGGTTGCTAAAATATCTATTGAAATGGGCTGACATTTAGGTTGCTCTAGTTGGTTTGTTTATTAATGAAATCCTTTTTGAAAAGGTTATCATAAAACATTTTAATGTTGTTATCAACTTGTTATTTAAAACATTTTATATTTGTATTACCAAGTAAATGGTTTAATTTCTTTAATGTTAAAAAAATATTATCAAAAAACTTTTTTCATGTTTAATTTTAAAAAATCGATAGTTTTTAGGCAATAAAATATATAATAATCTTTTTTTTATATGAAATTATTATTATTTTTGAAATTTTGATATAATTTTGCTACTTTTGAGACCCAGGTTAACATTTTTGAAGAACTTTTTTACATACAATTATAAGATTTAAAATTTTTTTAATTTCATATTTTAGGAATTGCTCCTTGATCCTCCTGATACTTTTGATAGAGCAAGATGTGAAGATTTATTGAAAAGACGATTTTTTTATGCTCCTGCTTTTGAGATATATGGAGGTAAATTGTAATATGTGTTTAGTAGTTTGAAAAATGAAAAATATTTTTATTAAGTATGAAATTTATTTGTTTATAGTTATTAAAGATAATTATACTTTAAAACTAGACAGTCTAACTCAAATTTGATCAGTTAAGTTTAATAAGTATTTTTATGAGATAAAAATTTTTATTTAACTTTTGCGATTTATTATTTTAAAGTTTTGCGATTTTTTATTTTTATTGTTGTTTGCAAGGTGTGAATTAAGCAATTGCGAATTGCGATGTGTCGAAGCCATGTAGTAATCTTGAAAGTATATTATTTGAAACAATCAACAATTGCTGATTTTTATATTTATGAATAAAGGTTTTTCTGGAAAAGTATCATCATGTTTTATGAAAATGTTCATAAAAAACAAATCATTAAGATAAAAAGATGTTGTAATAAACAAGCTAGTCAAAGTACAGAGGGCCACCAATTCTACAATAGGATTGAGTGTCAGCGAGTTTATTATAGGATTGAGAAAACGCAGAAAAATTGTGTGCATCACCAAATATTTTTGGAAATAAAATAGTTAGCAGGAAATCTTTATTATTCTAATTCTAGGAAGTGACATTTCAAAACTCTAAAAGATCTGCTCCAATCTTCTTTTTTTTTAATTTTTAGGCATGAATGTTTTTTTTTTATTATTTTATATAAAAAAGTTGTTATAATTTTTGATGTATTTAATCTATAATCTATCTAATAAAAAGTTTTTTTTTTTTTTTTCAAGTTTTTAACAATTTTGAATATTTAATGACCATTAACAAGTTACCAGTAATTACCTTAAAAGGATGAGTTTTGTCTATGGACCACCAATTGTGTCATGTTGCTATAGATGATATATATCTTTATAATAAATATTAATGAAATAACCTTGTCTGATAAATATTGCCTTTTGTTATTTGTTTGTCAGGTCAGGCAAAGCCTATCTATGCATGACTTTTCAGATCACGAGTACCAATAAGAAATACTTTTTTTTAAAATTTGTTTATTTGTCTAAGCTTTTTTAGTTGATTAAATCAGGGCCTTTTAGAGTATAAAAATTTGTTGGTGCAGTTATATTTTTTTAACCTTCTATTTTAGCTCTCCCTTAACAATGCACAGAATGCATAGGCGCTTAAATGCATTTTATAAAATTAAAACAACTGTAACCACTATTTATATTTAAAAATTTAGGTTTATAAACCAAAGTATGTTATCATTAAATCAATGCACATGTGAACGTGTAACGCATAGATTGTGCATGCTAATACACATAAAATTTTTTTAACACACTTAGAAAAAGAGATTAAATATTATTTAATTTTCAGATTTTAAGATAAGAACAAGTTCAGTATCTGTTGGCAATGTTTTTATTGATATTTTTTTTGCTTTGCAAAGGAAATGCTACAAGGATCTGATCTAATAAAAAGATTGTAGATCTGATCTTTTATAGTGTTAAGTCATGATTTTTTTGCTGTGTGGCGTAAACCTTTTCAATCAATTTTTTGAGATTTTGAAGAGCTTCCGTTAAATTTTGAGCATTAGGCAAACTATTTTGCTTTGAAAAAAACTCTAAAAATATCTGTAAAATTCTATTTACATTTAATTTATCTGGAATTAGAAAGTTTAAATAAATTCAATAAGGATTTTACCTAGTCGTTTGTTTTTTGTTTCAGACTCACATAAAATAGGTTCAATCTTCTAAATACAAGCTACAGCACTTTATAATCAAATGTCATTAGGTTAAAACCTAAAGAGACTATTTTGTGAAAATACACAATGTAAATATTTGATTGAGTATTTTTACATGCACATCCAAAAACTACTATTTTTTCAAAAAAAAGATGGTCGAATATTCTATTTTACAAAACTATGCATTGTTCACTTTAAAATATCTCTTTAAGGAGCAAGAAAGTGCAGCAAATGATCCAGGTTTTTTTTAATTTATGTTAATACTTTTGAATCAAAATTTATTTTAATCCTTCATTTGTATTACCTAAATTAGCAACTGTTTTATGCTAGTAATATTTAAAACATTATTTATGGAAGTCTCAGTGAAAGTTGCTATTTTTATTGCAGTAAATACTTGTTTTTTCTACAAAGATTTTCACATTCTGGTAAGTTTGAGTTAATTTGCCCCCTGGTTTATTATTTTAAAAAAATTTTTTTGTTCAAGAATATATTGGTTTTAAATTAAAATATATTTTAACCAAATGAGCAATGAACTGTATATTGTAAAAAATGTATGCAAAAGCATGCTTTTACAGTAAATAATGATACATAATATATAGATTTGTATGTCTAACATATAAATCTTCTTAATTAGCCAAATGTAATGCAAACAAAAAGATAATGCATATTTAAAGTTTCATATTTCAGGTGTTGCTGGTCTATATGACTTTGGACCTATGGGGTGTGCAATGGAGAACAACTTGTTAGCAATATGGCGATCGCATTTTGTTCTGGAAGAACAGTTTTTAGAGGTTCGTTGCACACAATTAACACCAATTCAAGTTCTTAAGTAAGTAGTTTTTATACGCTTTTTTATCTTTATTGAATTTATTTATATTACATAAATTTAAAAAGTATCTTACTAGTTGAGCTTTAGAGAAATATAAATGTAAGAGTAATTTTTCTGTGCAAGAACATGTCTCAAGAATATATTTTTTTTTTCTTATTTAAAAAAGTTTAAGTTTTTATTTAACTTATAAAGATAAAAACATAAAAAGACCAGTATAAGAGTTAAAAAGTTGGTCATAAAAATAAACACATGCTTTTTGCAATGCATTTGGACTTTGACAAGGACCTTGTCTAGAAGAGAATGAGAAAGAACCAGTCCAAATATGACAGCAGTATTCCATACAAGGGCGAATAATATATTTTTAGAGGTAGAGAATGGAATCAGGTGTAGGATAATGGCAAGCATGATAAAGAGAACCAGATGTTAACTTTGCAATTGATTGTATATATGCTTACTATGAGAGGTAAGTAAGTGAATGAAAATCCTAGAAGGTGTAAAGTGGTCTTAGTGAGAGGGTAGCTTTCATCAATATAGGAATGTCGACAGTATTGCAATAGTTGCTTGCAATAAATAGTTTTGTTGGAGTTAAAAGTCACAAGACACTGCTAACCCAAAGCTGCTAGAGAAGCAAAATCAGATTCATGATCTGTTTTTAGCAATTGAAATGACCTGTTCTTAGCAATTGAAATTACTTTTTGTCGAGGCAGGAGTATTAAGTTGAGGCGTCAGCCAATAGAGCCACTTTAGATGTAAGTTTGTCAGAATGTTTATTAATGTAGGTAAGAAACAATACAGAACCAAGGATAGAAACTTCAGGTACCCCAAAGTTTACTGGAGATGAAGAAGAGCCTTCGAAGATGACTTTAATACTGTGGCTAGAAAGAAATGATTTAGTGATCTGTAAAACTTTCTTAAATACACCATATGAAGCTAACTTGTGGAGAAGACCATCATGCCAAACCTTATCAAAAACTTTTGATATGGCAAGAACAATAACCCTTGCCTCGCCACCTCCATCTAATGCATGATAATCTTTCTGTTACAGCAGGTAGCAAGTCTGCCATAAAAACATTGAAAACTATAATGATTGAAAACTATAATGATTGTCAGAAAGTAAGTTATTAGATTCAAGTTGAGATGATTGAAATTTGTTGATTAAAGATCTCTTATTACAAATCGGAGAGAAGACACAAATCAAGGATTGTCTTAAGAAGAAGGAGAGTGATAAAGAATCAAGTGAAAGGTGAAGAGGTGCTAAGTGGAATAAAGTGAAAGGTGATTAAGTGAAGAGGTGCTAAGTGGAAACATACAAAAGAAGAGACATAAAAAAGCAAAAAAAACATAAAAGATTAGATTTTTCAAACCTAATTTCACTACAAATAGGTAAATTAATGCGAAAGTAAATGCCCAAGCTAATCATATGGCTATTGGAACCTTTGGCAATCAAAAGAAAATAGCCATCAATACTGAGATTCAAAGAAGTAACAGCTGAATTAAAATTAGTTTTATGAAGATCAAATAAATCTGGTGAATTTTGCTAGAGGTAAGGTTCAACTAATGGAAAGTTACTTTGAAGACCACAAATACTTGTAAAAGACATTTTGAAACAGTTGTGTGGTAGTGGTATTGGTTTTTTATGTTTAATAGTTTTTGGAATTTTGGTCATGGTTTAAATTAAAGAGAAACCCAAAGTCATGCCTTATTGCTCCCTATGTGGCCTGGAAAATGCACACCAAAAGATCACCATTAATGCTAAACATGGCACTGTTAATACTCTGATATTTCACAGGTGTTAATTTAGGAAACCTTACTACTGGCTGGCTTCAGAGCCATTAAACTGAGTTTTAGAGCTATACTCTCATCAAGAGATAACAGAAAGTGTTGCATAGCCACCGTCAAGGAGAATAAAAAATCTATGAGTAGTTAAAAAGAATCAGCATTCATCATCCTAGGCAGGAAACAACGTAATACAGGTTTACATCTATGCAAGCCTAATAGATAAAGAAGAAGTGTAAGGCTAGTTTACAGAATTATTCTGCTTTCTCCTAAAGTCTTTTCTTAGTAAGTCTTCTACAAGACTGTAGCTGGATGCAGATGCCATCTGCTCTAAATGAGTATTTTTGTAAGGACACCATCTCTACCCTTTACCCAACCAAGAGCCCCAAGGCTGAGGAATTTTAAGTCAGAGTTTTTTTCTTCTAGCCTTTCTCAAGTAAAGCAAATCCTACAAGGCAGCATGGCATGGGGCAGTACTGGATTACATGTTACCAGTAGCGGGATGGTTGTGATGATCCTGACCTGGATTAATGGGTTTAATTTATTTTAAACATTTATCTTAAGGTTAAAAGAACACACCACTCTAATTTTTAAACTCCTAAATGGAAAATGTTCTGACAAATCTTTAAGCACTCCTAAAAGGTTTTGTTTTCTCAAGTTGATACTTTTCAAATATAAAATTATGACTCAGTTAATGTTGTTTGGCTGGTTGGTGCCTAGTCTGCACATTTCCTAAACTTTTTTAATAGTCTCACTTTTTTTATAAAGAATTTCTTTATAAACTATAGCACTCTTGAGTCCATAATTAAAGGGGGGGAGGGGATGTTTATTAGTTTCTGGAAAATTTTCCCACCCATCCCAAGCTTATTAAGACTTCCCCCCTCCCCGGTTTATTAATTTTTAATTATGGTCAGCAAAAACTTTATATCTCAAAACTAAAAAAAAAAAAAAGGAAAATCTATTAAAATCTGCCTTAAAAATTAGAAAATAATTCTTTCAGTCATCAATAAAAACAAAAACTTTCAGTGTAAACAGGCTTTAAAAATCGCCAACGTGGTAAATCTCGATTCAGCAAATTAAATCCTATTGAATTTATGCTAAAACTGCTGTTTAAAAATGCTCATTTGACCGCAAGTCACGCTAGAATTAAATAGTTTTAAGTGTATTTAGTAAAAAATATTAGTTCGGATTTATAAACTAAATTTTTCTATAAAAAATATTTATATTGTATCATAAAAAAATTCCCCCTCTCCATTTTATTTAACCCTTTTATTTTAATTTTTTTCTTCTACTAAACCACAAAATCTTAATAATGTTCTTTTCAAGGGGTTTAATCATCATTAGTACTAGCAACTTGTGTTTCTTACAAAAAAAATTTATTCTTTACAGTGTTTGCAGCTACAGCTTCCTATTTCCTGGCTAACCAGATCATGGTGTATAAATCAAGGTTGAGTTTCTGAGGTTGTGTAAAAACATTTTGATTACTTTAAGGTTAGAATGGCATAACCTTAGAATGAGAAGTTGTGTATTATGGAAGAGAACTTTTTTTTATTAGGATAGGGAGTTAAGTCTATAGTTAGAAAAACCTTACTACCTCCAGCATAGAGTTTTGCATCATTATTTTTTATATAAACAGAAAGGATTTCGGAATCAATCCAGAATTTATTTTTGACTGATAAGGTTGGCTTTGAAACCCTTGTGATTTTTCTGCTTTACTAATTATCAATTACACAGCTTTTTACTTAGCCCAATTTTATTGTATTATGCAGCTTTACATTCCATATAAATCCTTTTTAACTCCATTTTATGCTTTTCTGCCAATATGAACAGCTTTTTACTTCAATTGTATTTAGTTCCACTTAACAACTTAAAACATTTTAAATACATTTTACTCAAGAGCTATTTTTATTTGAATTGCTTTTAAAATTTTTCTTGGTAAATCATCTATTGGTATTAGTGTTTTTTATTTATGAACATATAGAAACCTCTTTATTTTTTAAAATTGTATTATATTAAAGTTATGGACATTGATTTTTGATTGCAGGGCATCAGGGCACGTTGATAGATTTACTGATGTTATGGTGCGTGATATTAAAACGGGTGACTGTTACCGGGCTGATCATCTTCTTGAAGGTAATTAATAAGTAATAATAAATTAAAATTTTATAAAAGATCTGAAATTATTATGAAATATTTATCTAAAAATTATTATGAAATATTTATCTAAAAATTATTATGAAATATTTATCTAAAAATTATTATGAAATATTTATCTAAAAATTATTATGAAATATTTATCTAAAAAGATTGCTGTTCACATTGACAAAAAAATTTTTTTCTTACATCTAAAAAAATTACTAAGTATAGATTAAACAGAAAGCAAATAATAAAAGATGTCAGATATGTATATGTAATATATATATTCAAATCCCTATATTCAGTTTAAAAACTCTTTTGAATTGTTTAAAATTATTTAAAGACAAGAAAAACTTGATATATTTTTTGGAGTGTTTTTTTTTTAATTTAAAATATGGTTTTCAATAAAAAATAAATATTCCTAGAATGATAGGAAATAAAACAAGTCAAAAAATAGTGAAATTTTGGCAACAAAAAACGAAAGCTTTGAAAAGTAAAATAATTTTACAATTAAATCTAAATAGTTTTTGCATAAAGTTTTCAAAAATATTGGAGGCCTGGCAATATTTTGCAAAATTTAGTAAAAACCAGAAAGTAACTAAAATGGCCATAAAGTCAGAAAGTGTGTACGAAAAAAAATTATTTACAAAGAAATTAAAAAGTAAAACAAAAATTATTTTTGTTTTGTCTTTTATTTCCACAAGTGCTTTTTGACAGTTGTGGAAAGATTTTGTTTTTTTATCATTATTTCTAAGCAATGTATTTTATGACAAAATAAAAATAGTAATAAATCTATGTGAAGTTTATTGTTTAAAGTTTAAGTTTTGTTGCACACTTTGAATACAATATTAAAAAAGTAAATTTATAATTTCTTCTTAAAGCTCAGTTTTAAGACCTCGTAGTTGTGACAATGCCACTACTAAGCCTTAATGTAGTTGTGACAACGCCACTGCTAAGCGTTAATATAAAACAATCAAAGAAACTATACAAATCTTTTAATTTATATGATTTGTCTGGTTTTGACAAAATCTACAAATTTCAGTAGGCTAAAATTAGCATTAGCCTTAATTGTACATTTGAGCTTGAATAGATTGTCATCATTATGTTTATAAATTGTTTATAAACAAAAGTTTTTTTTAGAAATAAATAAATATTTTTTGTTTTGTATTAATTAAAGTTCCAAACCAAATGATAAACATAAAAAAATTGCCAAGAAAACATGTGATATTTAAATAAAAAAGTTGTTATTTGATTGTTAATAAATGTTTACCTGTTGGCAATTTGCAATTAGCTTTTAAATTGGGTCAAACACCAAAACAAAGTAATTATAAGATAGGAAAACTTTTAAGAAAATCAGAAAAATTTGAAAAAATTTGTCAAAAAAATATAAAAATTAAGAATCTTACTAGGACTAAAATTTCTTTGATTTCTTCAAAATGACTTTGCATAAAATAAGTTGATTATGACTCCTGAAAGTACTGGGATTATTTTCAGCTCATATTATATTTAAAATGTCTCTTGACTACTTGTTATAAATGACTGCAGATAATGCAATTAAACTTGGTCAACACAAATTTATTTAAACTTTTAGTTATAAAGAAGGGTGCAGAATAAATACTGATTGTGGGCTGACAATCGTTTAAAACTAATGACAATAAGTAAAAATTTTTGATATTAACTAAAAAACCTTAAACGTACATGTGTTAGGATCAGTTATAAAAGTATGCACACTCTAATTAAAAGTTATTTCTTAATGTTTATATATATATATATATATATATATATATATATATAATATATATATATATATATATATATATATATATATATATATATATATATATATATATATATATGTGTTAGGATCAGTTATAAAAGTATGCACACTCTAATTAAAAGTTATTTCTTAATGTTTATATATATATATATATATATATATATATATATATATATATATACATACATACATACATACTTACATACATACATACATACATACATACATACATACATACATACATACATACATACATACATACATACATACATACATACATACATAGTAAATGGGTTAAATATATAGTTTGTGGTAAAAAACAGCTTTTCGCTTTCTTATGTTATTGTTTATGACGTATTCATTTAAATGAGGAAACTAAATTTAATGTTTTTACAAAAAACCACAAAAGGGCAAATTAAAAGACCAGTTTATAAAAACATTATGAATGGCAGTCTATCAAATAATGATAAAAAAGTTTTTCTGATCTTTGAATTTAATAAAAAAAAAAACAACCTAAAACTGACCTGGATATATATATATATATATATATATATATATATATATATATATATATATATATATATATATATATATATATATATATATATATATATATATATATATAAATATATATATATATATATATATATTTATATATTTATATATATACACACACACATATATATACACACACATATATATATACACACATATATACACACACACACACACACACACACATATATGCCCATTTTTTGTGTTGCAGAGAAATTTAGTTTTGGATTAAAGTATGTATAGACTTTTTGAGTAGAAAAAGAAATTCCTGGTGATTATTTAAATATTTCCTGAAGTTTTTTTGTTTTGAGACCAAAAATCTAGTGTTAACAATTAATGTAATTTGCAAAATAACAAATTTTGACTCCTACCTCCCTGTATTGTGGCACTGTTTTAAAGAAGAGGGAATCAAGTAAAGTATATTCCGGATTTTTCCAAGTATTTTTCAAAAATGTTTTCTGAATTTTTAAAACATGACTTGAATCATTTTTGTATTCAGTAGATACTAAAATACAATTAAACAAATTAATTTTATTAGGCAATAAAAATACATTCAAAATTTTGATTTTAAAGTTATTTTTATACTCATAGTCATATATAACTTAGACAAAACCAAAAATAGCATAAAAGTGCAAAAATTATTATATATTTAATAGATAAGATAGAATAAATTAAATAACCAAAAATTATTTTATATTGAAAAAAGTTTAAAAGTCTACTTAAAGTAATGATTGTTTTTATAAAAGTCAATGTATAAAATAAAAGAAGCAAGTATTGAATAAAATTTATTATTGTTGCAAAGTTATTCAAAAGTTAAAAACATTTTTAAGTTATCATTTTCTCGTTTTGATTTTTTCAGCACAGTTATTGTATTTGTTTTCAAGTTTTAAAATCTTTTTTAATTCGTTTTATTATTTAAAACTGATTTTACTATTTAAAAACTAGTTTTGTTAATTAAAATCTGGTTTTATTATTTAAAAACTAGTTTTATTATTTAAAAACTAGTTTTATTATATAAAAACTGGTTTTATTATTTAAAATTGGTTTTAGCACCATTTTTATTGTTATTTTATTTAAGTTAAAAAAAAATATCTTTAGTTAAATGTTTAATTTTCTTATGGTCAATTTTATATTTATGAAATTCATTTTTGGAAGAGAAGCATATTAAATATTTTAAAATTGCTTATTAATCTTTTTTTTTAGGATAATTAAAAATACAAAGGCAAGTTTCAAGTTTAGTTATATGGCTCAAAGCTTAAATAACTAAGTTTAGACATAAGGGCATAAAGCTTTATGCAATTAAGTCTTGTAACAAAGGTCTGGTATATTTATTTGTACCAGAAAATCAACACTGAAGTTGACATTGTTTCATATGTTTCCAGTTTTTGATTCATATCATAGTGTTTAGTAAAATTCTAATCAAATAAAAAAGTATTTGATTTATTTAACTCAGCAACAACAATATTATCCAATAATAGAAAATGTTAAAATAAAAAGAAATAAAATAAAGTTATATAAAAAACGTTTATTTTTATATCATTAACTTTTAATTATATTACAATAATTTTTTTTTATTTCTACTTTGTTTTGTAAAGGAGAATTTCTTAGTTTTTAGTTTGTTCTAATTGTTTTTAAGTAAAAAAACAAACAAAAAAAAAAACAAACAGGTTTTGCAACAGGTTGCTCACCATGTTTAAAAAAGTGTGTAATTTAGAAAATGTTTTATTATTATTTCTTCAACTAATGAGAATTAGAGATTTAAAATATGATGGTCTAGAATCAGGTAAAAGCTGTAAACAGGGAGAAGTAGGGTTAGATATAAATTCCCAATATCATACAGATGCTGTATGAAGTTTATTTCTAATTAATGCTGTCCCCAAATTGTTTTATTTAAACAGGTTTTTAAATTATGGTTTTACGATAAAAATAATTTAATATTCAAAGTACTATTTATTGTTATTATTTTTATTTATTAGTTTTATTAATTTTTATCTTTATTCATAATATGTTAATATCTTTTTTTTTTCTTTGTAAAACGTTAGTTAAAAGTAAATCAAAGTTTAGGTGTGAATATTAACTCTGAGTTTTACAAAATTAAGTAAAATTGTTGTATTTTTATTTAGTTTTTTTACTTTGATAAATTTTTAGGCCATCTTGAAAATTTATTGAGCAACAAGAAGCTGTCTGAAGACAAAAGAAAGGAATACACGTTAGTTCTAAGTCAGGTGTATTTTCAGTTATCTATTTAATTAGACAAAATAAGAACTTATTACAAAATTGGTGCTCAGAATATTTTTAAAATAAATTTTTAATGTTTAATTAGATTGATAACTTTAAAAAAGATGATCTTTGGAACCTTATTCAAAAGTATGAATGCAAAGCTCCTGGAACAAACAATGATTTGCATGATCCACAAGATTTTAATCTCATGTTTGGTACGTCTATCGGACCAGGTGGAAATCTTGCTGGTTTTATGAGACCTGAGACAGCTCAAGGAATTTTCCTTAATTTTAAAAGGCTTTTGGAATATAATAATGGAAGGTTACCATTTGGAGGAGCGCAAATTGGTTGTGGATTCAGAAATGAAATAGCTCCACGAGCAGGTTTACTTCGAGTCAGGTAAGTAAAAAAAAGTTGAAAAAAAAGTATTTTAGATTTAATTTGTTTATTGAATAATTTATAAGTATAAATAATTTTTTTTTTCAAAGAGAGTTTATTATGGCTGAAATAGAATATTTTGTTGATCCAGAAGAAAAAGAAATAACTAAATTTAAAGATGTGCAAGACACAGTATGCGTGTTGTACCCTCGTGATGTCCAAATGGCTGGCGAACCTGCACTAAAAATGACTTTAAAGGAAGCACTTGAAAAAGTATGTTAACAATTATTATTAAAATAATCATTTGTAGTCATACTTTATAAATTCAATAGAGGTGATAATAAAACTTTTTTAGGTATATAGTAATAATAATTTAAATACCAATTTATAAACTCCAGTCTACATAAAAAGGTTTTTTTTTTAAAGAAAAGATCAAGTTTTAATCAAGTTTTGATCAAGTTTTTTTTTTTATTCATTTATTTTTGCTTGTTGCTAATTGCTAAATTTTGTTAGCCTTTTTGTAATTTCATGCCATCACTTTAATGTAAATTATAATCAAGAGTTAAGAGAAAGCAAAGAAGAGAAAAAAAAAGCAAGAAGACATTAGACAAAAGGCTTTTGTAAAAGAAATTGTAAACTTAAAAAACTATAATCATATGAGTCACAAAAACACAAAGATGGGAGAAAATTGCGTTGATGTTTGTGGAAAAAAACTAGATGAGTAAAAGTTTTTTTGAACATGAAGGAACAGTTGCAGTAAAAAAGTTATGACTAGCTGGATGAAAAGTCATACAAGATTGAGTTTTAATAGATGAAACATATATAAACATATAAAAACATATGAGTTGTTTAAGCAGTGATCATGTTAGTATTTGTGGAAAAGAGAGAACAAAAGCAACCCAATGACAATGATAGAGAGGCTCAAGCTTTGCAGCTAAAGCAGGTCTAACTAAAGGATGATGACTATTTAATAAATTAACTAAAGGATGAATTTTTTTTTAAAAAAAATAGCTTAAAGAGTAATAAATAAGTAACTCTGTACTCTTTATGTTAAAGGGTCCCTAATATGTATATGAAAAAAAAGTTCTTCAAAAGTAGGTCAACCTGGTACTCAAAAAAATTTATGAATAAGAAATTATGTAAAAGTTTTAAAAACCATATTTGTTTTATAAAAAATATATTAAGGAAAAAAAATATTTTCAACAACTTGCACTTTTTTTATTTTTAGGTTTGAACTAAATTAAAAGTTTTTATAAAAAAAATTTAAAATATAAGTTTTGTTTAGCACCTCTTCAATCAATCATCAGTCAATACTGTTGCTTGTAACTTCAATGCTCATCACACTGAATGATATGGCTTGAGAACCACTTTTTCTTTATCTCATACTCAGATATTTAATTTTTCAAAAAACTTTGTTCACATACTTTTACTATTTGACCTGTATATAAATATAAATTTTCTTAATACGAATTATACGAAACAATTATTTTTTTGTGAAATTTTTGTATAATTTCACTTATTTTGAGTACCAGAATGACCTACTTTTAAAAAAATTTTTTACATATATATTAGGGACCCTTTAAATATTCAAGGGTCTTGAGGCACCTCCAAAAAATATTTTTTGTTCAAAAAATTTTAAAATTCAGTGTTATTTTAGTATATATAACAAATTAAGAGGTCAAACAAGGCAATTTTTAAAAATATATAATTTTAAACTGTGCTCTACCGTAGTAAACTAATATAAATACTTATTTTTTTCTTCTAATTATTAAATTGAATTATTTTTCAATTATTATAATTTAAATTTAACTTTTCTGTTTAGTTGATTTACAATTTGTACTTTTTGTATATCTTTTTTTAAGTTTCTACTATTTAATTTTAATGTATATTTATAACCGCTTTTGAGATAATTAAAATATTGGTTTTGTTTAGGGAATCATTTTTAACACAGCAATGGGTTACTTTCTTGCTCGCATTCAAAGTTTTATGTTGAAAATAGGTGTTGATCCTACCAAAATGCGGTTTAGGCAGCATATGGCCAATGAAATGGCACACTATGCTTGTGATTGCTGGGATTGTGAACTTAAAACATCATATGTAAAGTTTTTGTCATTATGAAATTAAAATAACTTTTCACTATTATACACTCATAGATGTCTGAGTAGTATTTATAAAGCAGGTATGTTTTTAAAGATCAAATTACTGTACTATAAAATGTTTATTTATAGGGTTGGGTTGAATGTGTTGGCTGTGCAGACCGCGCCTGTTTTGATCTTCAACAGCATACAAACGCGAGTGGCGAAAAACTTGTTGCTATGGTTGATTTAGCTACACCTGTATCTTTTTCTTATAACATTTATTTTTTTTTTTTTTTATAAAATAGAGTATGGTTTTATATGATTAAAAAATTTTAAAATACACACTAGTCGTAAATTTCATTATTCAAGTTTAAATCAGAATCATTATAGTTGCTCTGCTATTGGTAACATGTAATCTAATAAAACCTACCACGTGTCATGCTGCCTTGTAGGACTTGGTTTTTTGAACAAAGGCTAGGGGAAGTTAAATCTTACTTAAATTACCCCCTTCTTTTTGGTTCTAAGTTGAGTAAAGGTTAGAGATGGTGTCTTAAGAAAAATACTCAATATGGACAGATGTTAACTGCATTTGGCTACTGTCTTGTAGAAGGTCTTCTATGAAAAGACATAAGGTGTAAACAGGAAATTTTGGTTGACTAGCTTTGCATCTCTTCTTCATCTAATAGGCAGGGAATATATAAACCTATGTTACATTGTTTCCTGCTTAGCATAATGAATGCTGATCTTCTTGACTCTACTCATGGATTTTTGCTTGTGTATACTTGATATTGGCTACACAACTCTTCCTGTTATCTCTTAATGAGAGCTCCAAAACTGAGTATTTAATTGTTCTGAGACTTATAATAAAGTTTTTTAAACTCGGTATTTCTGAAAAAAGTTTATTCCATGAACAGTTGTAAAATATCAAAGAATTGACAGTGCTGTGTTACTCACTGGTAGTGTTCCTGAGGCATCTGCATAAGGTATATTTAGGGTGTCTTGCACTATCTATGAGTCAATTTCTATTTTAATTTAAGACATGACTTTAGTACTTTAAAATGTTAAAAAAACAGAAAACATAGTTACCATTAAATTGTTTTTATTTATCTTTTACAAATATATGTGATTTTAAAAATAATTTCTTGTCTGTTGTATCTTATCTTTTGCATAATTTATCAGACCCACTTGTTCTTTATTTGGCTAATTTAAATTTGGCTGTTTTTTTCAGGTCTTAGTGTTGATGCCTTTTGTACTTAGGTTTGCAAATACTCTAGTTGTCACATGCATGACCTGGGCACTACTAACTTGTGTAATTTTTTTTTATTTGTGAAATCAAGTTTGAATTTTCTGACTATTCTTTTCTGTACTTTTGTTTAGCACCACTTCAATCAATCATCAGTCAATACTGTTGTTGGTGGTGACTTGAATGCTCATCACGCTGAATGATATGGCTTAAGAAACACTGTTTCTCTATCTCATACTCAGATATTTAATTTTTCAGAAAACTTTATTCATATACTTTTACTACTTGATCAATGTCTTGTCACTAACCCTGGCTTGTGCTCCGTTTTTCTTTTTCTTTTTTTCTTTGGGTTGTTTAGACTATGCTATGATTTCACTAAAACTTTTATATCATTGTTTCATTCCTGACTCCATTTTTTACTTTTATAAATCTTTTACCCATCCTTATATAGAATACTGTAATAACATTATTTATTTATTTGGTCTGGTTATTCTAATAATGGTCTTTCCCTTTTAGACATGATCCAAAAACATATTTTAAATGTTGGACTTGCTTAAGTTGTCAAACTTGAGACTATTTTATACTTCTACAAGTTACACCATGGTTACAGCTTAAGCATTATCACTTCTTTTTCATCCACCAAAATTGTTATTAAGTTAAGTGACATCTTATTACTGAAACTACTCCTTCATGCTCTAAAAACATGTATTCACTTTTTTTTTCCTCACACATCAATGCTTTGCAATTTTCTCAAGTCATCATGTTTTCCTGACTCAAAGAGTCAAGTGCTTTTTAAGTCTTCAACAAACAGCTTTGTTTTAGACTAATAGTTATTGCTTGCTAAAAAAAAAATCTTTAACATTGTATAAAGGTTTCTGTTGATGTAGTTGAAGTATGTCTTGAAAAATCTGCTGTAGGAAAATCTTTTAAAAATGAAGCTAAAGCAGTCACTGAGTATGTTGCTAAAATGACTGTTGATGAAATTGAAAAGTTGGAGTTATCCATTAAAGAAAACGGGTAAGTTATTTTATTTTTATATGGTTTGTTGAAATAGTACTTTGAAATGATTTAAGACAACTTCATAGAGGAAATAATTAAAATTGTGTTGTTGTTTTTTAGAATAAAAGGAAGGTTTAATAAATGTAATATTTATTCAATTTTAGAAAAAGGTTTTTAGGTGAAAATATTTAAAATAAAATGTAATAATAAAGTTTATATAGTTAAACAGAGAATCACTAATATTTTTTATTCTATTTAATCAAGAGAAATAAATATAAAAACACAATACAAATGTATTGTGACTTAAATATCATATTTAATGCAATATTGTCATATTTATTGCAATTTTTAAAAAGGAATAAATTTAGTTAAATTTACACATTAAAGTTTATGTAATGATATAAATTATAATATAAAATTAGATGAAAAAAAATATAAATATCTATGTAAAAAAGTTGAAAAAAATTTAAGTGTTTTGAATAAAATATAAAAACTTTCCTCAAAATATATCGTTATTTAAGACAGCTATCAATCAAAAAGTCGTTTCCGCATTTTAAAAAGTTACTATAGGAACGTGGAATCTGTTGAAAAAATTTAGTCATAAAAATTTGAAACTGTTAAATGTATTTTTTATTTAACATTTAAAATATATAAAAAAAATAAATAAATATATATTTTACATTGTTTAAACTTTTTGGAAAAACAATAATTAAAAGTGATGTATGCGATTAAAATCTATTACTAAGATCAAACTCATTCAAAGTTTAATTGCAAACAATTGTCTTTCGTTCTTGTTTTTGCTACCATTTCACAGAAAGACGCGATATGAATATGAAAACAATTGCTTAAAATATTGAAAAATAATCTTTTTTATTAGTTTATATTTATAAAATATAAATATATTTTTTATTCTCGGTGAGGATTATAACCTTCTGAATAAAAACTCATTTCAAAGAATTTAATGTATTGAAAAACTTCTTTTTTTCTTTACTTTTGTGGAGCCTTAAAGTGCTCATATCAATGGTGAGTCTGGGTAGCTTGTAAATCTTGAATTGTAATTCTTCAAGTATCAAAATAAAAATACTTCGTCTTGATTTTTAAATCAGGTTAAAAAAAGTCCGATGGTAAAAAATTTTCAAACTCCTCCATAATTTTTAACTAAAATAATAGCATCAGGAAACCCATCTACACCACACCACAATCTTGGAACCCACCCACACCACACCACAATCAGGGAACCCATCTAAACCACACAAATGTGAAGCCGTAAACATTTAGTTTTTTAAAAAAAAGTGTCCATAGAGTTTATGACATATTTAGAATGATTCATGCTAGTCATATTTTCAAATATCTTAATTTTTTTAGTTTGTTTTCGATTAATGTGAATGACAAAGAGTATGTTTTAAAAAAGGAAATGGTTAAAGAAGTTCGTAGATTTAAGAAAGATATTCATGGTAAGTGAGAGAATCTCATTAATGAAAGTTTGTTAAATTAATATACATGTAGATAAAAACATTTTATTTAAGCATTTTTCTGTTTTTATATATATATATATATTAAATAAAATATAAAAACACTATATATATATATATATATATATATATATATATATATATATATATATATATATATATATATATATATATATATATATATATATATATATATATATATATATATATATATATATATATATATATATAAATATAAATATATATATATATATAGTGTGTAATTTTAAAATAATTTCACCACGCAAAAAAGCTGAAGTAATACTAAATCTATATATATATATATATATATATATATATATATATATATATATATATATATATATATATATATATATATATATATGTATTATAATATATAAAATATATTTATTTTAGTCCGAGAAGTTTCGCCACATGTTGTAGAGCCCTCGTTTGGGATTGGTAGAATTATGTATGCTGTTTTAGAGCAAAATTTTCGTGTAAGAGAAGGTGACGAACAAAGAACTGTAAGTAAAACAAGAAGAATTCGCTAAAGGTTTCAAAAAATTTAAACTAATGATCTTGACTTGCTTTATTTTTAGTGGTTGTCACTTCCTCCGTTACTAGCCCCTGTAAAATGTTCTGTACTTCCTCTGAGCAAGAATGAAGCATTTGATCCATTTGTCAAAAAAATATGTAAGCCATAAAACAAATGATTGCAGTTATTTTATGATGTTCATCACCAGTTATAAATATTTTTTTTTATAGCGGCCATGCTGACTGAATTAGATGTCTCTCACAAAGTTGATGATTCAAGTATATCAATAGGAAGACGTTACGCTCGTACTGATGAAATAGCTATACCATACGGAGTGACAGTAGATTTTGATACAATAAATAAAGAACCAAACACTGTTACACTCAGAGAAAGAAATACTACAAAACAGATTCGTGTTGAAGTAATTCTTATTTATTTGATCACTTCTTATGTGATTTAAGTATTATATTGTATACTGTATAGTGTACCGTGTTATATCATTATTGCGTTGGATCGTTTAGTTTATTGAATTGCATCGTATAGTTTTTGTGTTATATAGTGTTTTATAGTTTATCAAGTACTGTTTCTTATCATATTCTATAACTACCGTCGTATATTCTATAACTACTGTATAGTGTACCTTGTATCAGATTGTATAATTTATTGAATTGCATTGTATAGTTTTTATATGTTTTATTGCATCGTCTAGTTTTCATATGTTTTATTGCACTGTATTGTTTATCGTGTATATATCATCATATATATAAATCTATATATATCGCATATAAATCTTATCATCTATTCTGTAACTACCATCGTATATTCTATAATTACCAGTTTATCGTAATTGAAAATGTAGTTTGAGTTATGTTTTTTATTAACTATTTTCTTTTCAATTAGGTAAACTTTGTAGGTGAGTTAGTAAGAGATTTGGTGAAAGGTAAACGAGTTTGGGACGACGTTGTTGAAGAGTTTGGTCTCTTTGAAGGTCAACAAACTATCACAAAGTAGATTTTTATATGACGACTGTAAGATACAATATTTAAAAAAAAAACGAAATGATTTTTAATTTAATATTATATTAATAAACGAATTGTTCTTAACAACATGGGCACAATGTTTTTAATTATACAAAGATAGGTTTTACGATCTTTGCATAAATTAAATCATGATGCTCTTTTTTAAGTAAAAAAAGAGCACAAAATTGCACCATTTTGTTAAATTTGCATTTGAAATTTCAAGTGATTGTTAAAAATATAATAAAAAATTAAAATTAAGTGCATTTTTATGGTTATACAGGATGCTTGATATACTAGTTATTTTTATATAAACGGTTTTAGTCATAACCTTTAATTATTTTTTATTTTCTGTTCGTTTACCAACTATTATTTTTATATATTTTATATATAAAATATATAACTAGCATCCTGTATATAACCGTTAGATGCCGATTTTTTAAGAAGAATCGTCAAAAATTTAAACGGTACAAGTCAAAAAAAAAACTTTTAAAATGAGAGACAAGATATTTTAGATAATTTAAAGTGTTGGCGGATTTGCGTGTCCTAATCTTACAAAACAAATAATGAATACAAAACAAAACAAAAAACGAATAACTATTGTAGCGAAATAAATAATCCGGACATTGAAATTAAAGATTTTAAACAAACTGTTAATAAAACAGTTTGAAAATTCGAGCAGAACCATTGCCAGACTTATTGGAAATGAGAAATCATGGCTAGAAGCTCGAGTAGAATTAAAGAAATATGAGAAGAAAATAATTATATCTGGTGGTGGGAGGCCTGCCACGGGAAGAATTAGGAAAAAGGAGCAAAAGAGGCAGAGTTATGGTATTAGCTCAACAGCACTAATCAGAGCAGCATTTAATGCTCAGAAAGTTATTAAAAAGGAAGGCTACTCAATAATGCCGGCAAACCCACTAAAATGAGTACTTTAAATGCCCTTAGTCTTAAGTTACATTTATCAAATGACCAATAATAAATGCATTACGATGTCAAGCTAGAGTATTTATAAACGAAAGTGACAGATCTACAGCAGCCAAAATCAAACGAAGAAAACATGTTTTAGACTGCTATGGTGCCTTTAAAACTAACTTTTGACAACCAAACAATCTGCCTAAACCAAAGTCCATAAAGTACTAACTTTAGCTAGCTAGTTGTAATAGACCAACCCAGACCAGGATTCGGTAACACAAATGGTAGTGATACTGCGAGAAGAGCACTTGAAGATTCAAAAGTTTTTGTAATTAACATCGACGTCAATAAAGAACTTGTAGAAAGATAGAACAATTTTGATGGCCAAATGTTCTGGCTATGATATTGACTTTGAAATATTTCAAAACTGCTGCAGAGACTCCGCTGCTTTTATTATTTCTCTCTACTCTAAAAAGTAAACCACCTAATGTTCACAAACTTCTGGAGCATGGAGTTTAGGTATCTGAGTCCTTAAAACATCCTATTGGATTTTACTCAGAAAAGAATCAAAATGTTTTAAAAATTACTTTATGAAAATAATTTTCAAAACAACACATATAAAGTAATTTTTTCTTTAGTCATATAGTAAGTATTATACTGACATTGAAAATACCAAAAAATACATAAAATGGTAGCTTGTTGCTATGGCAACTCAAAAAAATAGCTGAAAATTCCACAAAAACTGTGTTTACGCCGTAAAAAAATTAGAATTAAGAGTAAAGGAGTGTCAATGAAATTTTATATAACTGTACTAAATATGTAAATTTGTGATATGAGCGAAGCAGATTTTTGAATAAATATTTTTTTTTCCATAAAAGCCTACAGACAAATTAGGTTATTAAAAAAAAGGTCAAAATACAAAGAAAAAAACTAAATAACTCAAAATCTTAAGTCAAATGAAAAAAAATCTTGAAAAGAATACATGCTATCATGATGAAATTTTCAGGGATTCTTCATTTTACCAATGTTTATGGTATGAGCGGAGTAGAATTTTCCCGGCGTGTTTAAAAATTAAATTCTCTGAAAACGCAAAACAAAAAATAAAATCATAAATTATTGTTCATTTCATAAAAATGTCTTTAAAAAATAACATTTAGATTAACAACTAGATTCATAATATACCTTGGACTTTTCTATTGACTTTTGATGTTCATCCTTTGATAATCGTTGACGTCGTAACATCTTTCGTTTCATCTTAAAACTTTCACTCGATTAAAATAACGATAGTTTTATTCGTTTTTTGTTTATGAGTCTGCAACCAGCTAAAGAAAATGTCCTGGTTTTATATTTAGTTTTTCATAAATTAAAATGATAGACTTCATACCGATGTTATAGTTTGCAACAGCATCGTACACTCTAAACTCTAAACTGGCTAAACCAACATAATTACTTTTTGGTAATCTATCCCATATTGAATTATTAAAACTCTCGTTGCAGTTCTAGGTTTTGCCATGCAGACTTTTTACTAATTCAGAATCTTTACTTAAATCAGCATATATTGGCTTGATTTTGTGAATAATATCTGCAAGAAATCCTGGTCCAGGTTTGTATATGGAAGTAGACTTAGCTTTATCAATGTTAAACTTACACCAACTATCACCTCCAGTCGGGCAGTAAATATGATAGTTATTTTCCTTAGAAGAAGCTACATGGAAAAGGCTAGCTAATACTGCTTGTTTCATTTTATTCAGATCATTTGTATTGCTCCGGATAGCTACACCAAAAAATTTTTGCGATCAATAACTGCATTGGTTAGTTGACCACAACCACCTAGACCCTTAACATTTTATTTGAACTTGCGTAAGCGAGTACCGACTCGTTTTTGGTAATGTCCTACACACTCCAACTTTACCTCCATGTTTGGGTATATATCTTTGATAGAAAAATGGGATTTACAATCCCCATCACCAAGAAATTGAGTATATCTTAACTTGTGTTTTTCGATGGAGCGTTTAAAAACTCTCACTGCGCCGACTGATTCTATACCACCAGCTGTACCTTGATAATTGTACAAGCAAATATGTTTGTTTTTCCAATTAGCATATGCATCAAGATTTAATTTAGGATTTAATTATTCATGATTTATTCATAGGTTCAACATCGATTATTTTTCTACTATCTATTAAAATTGAGGTATTTCATTGACTGATATTGCGGTAATTCACTGACTGATATCCTCTTTTCTGCCACGATCCATCGCATGATACTCCAACATCAACAATGTCCTCACTAGTTGCATTTTCTTTCATTTCAGTTGCAGCATCTGACATTGTTTGGTTTGCAACACTTTTCACAATGTTTTTTATTTTTGTTGTAATTTTTGATTAGTTTTTGGGTGTCATGGGTTTTGGCATATTTATGAGCTGAGTAAATTTTTCAATGCCAGTATGACCATGGCATAAGACTCTCATTGCATATATTGTTGTTAATATCCTGTTATATATAATATCCTGGCATATATTGTTGTTAATATCCTGTTGTTAATATCAAACCCTTTATCATAAGCAACTGATGTTTAAAATTCAGGTTTATAGTCACAACATAGTGTAGTACACTTTAAATGTAGCAACGTTGCTAGACCTTTTTTTTTTCCTGATGATCACCTAAGTACAGTGCACACTTTTCACATTGAGGACACATTAACAATGAAAGAACTTTAGATAAAATTTCAGTGTCTATAATTCTGTAACCAGTAATTTTTTTAATGTTTTTACTTTTGTACATTTGTAACAACTTTTACTTTTTTAGCTGATGCGTCTAAAATATTTTTCATTCATTAGAGTCACATTCACTTACATTACATGCATTTTTATTTTTCTTCACCTTAAATCCTCTTCTTTTTTTGTGGTAATATGTTTTCTGCTTTACTCTATCATTAATATTTTTGTTCAAAATAACACCCAAATCAGTAGGTTTTGTCATATTTTTTAATTTCTGCTGTTATATAAATTAGCTTTGATAACTTGAAAAAATCCTATTTAAGTAGCAATTGTAAATGGCCTATATTTGAATATAATAAGGAACAGAATATTAAATAGCAAAGAAGATATAAATCAAAACATATATTTGAAACAGTACTTCAGGATAAGTTCACAAACAAAATATTCGCCCCAATAGTAACGCTTCGCTTTGCAAATATTTTTTACTCGAGTTCAAGAAAACATTTTTTAATAATGTGTTTTTAGAGAACTAAAATCATTTGAATTCCCAGAGAATTAAAATCATTTAGTTATTAACTTTTATTCCTTTATTTATGTAATGTGGTCTTAGCCCAGTGGGCACGCGTTGTCCAACGGACGTCCGCAAGATGTCTGAAGAACGTTCCCCGGACAGCGCATGCCGACTGGGAGTATAATATCCCACAAAAAACCATAACAATAATAGACTAATTATTTGAAATATCAAAAAATGCTATAAAAATATCCAACAGAGAAATGTATCAAAATAGTTTGTTTTGGCTTCAAGGTTCTAAGATTTTAACTCAAATTATTTTTTAAGTGTGTAGTCAAACGTAACGCGCGAATATTTATGTATTAAAAATATTATGATAAAAATAAAAAGTATTTTTATTAACAAATAAATTCTTTGACCCAAAATGTTGGTACTAAATGAGAACATAAGCTTATAAATTAAGAAGCATTGGATTGAGTTTTTCGCAAGAGAAATTAAATAACTTATGATAAATAACTCACCTTAAGAAAATAACTTATGGCTCTTAAAATAGTCGTTTATACCGATATAGTATTTTATTATAGTTCATGATATAGGATACATTCATGATATAGGATACATTCTTTAAATTTTTTTTCACTAATTTAAAACGCAGACATTTGAAAATGTTAAAACCCACAGTGCTTAATATGATAAAACCTTGGACTGCAAAACGATATCACATGCAGATACTTTTGTTTGTGAAAATATGCCTTGGAAGAAAATTATTAGACAAAAATTTGCTGAGATTAAAAGTAGTCATTTAAATACATTAAACAACAAATAATTAAAAAAATAATGTATACATTATTTTTTTAATTATTTGCGGTATATATATATATTTTTAATTATTTGCGGTATACCGCAA